GGAGTGGAGGTTCAGGGGAGTGCGCGTCGACAGGGTGTGTCACGGACCTTAATAGGAAGTGCCCGACGGAGCTGAGAACTGAGGGAGGCAGTGCTTGTAGGAGCGCCTGTGAGGCATTTGGGAAGCCTGAGTACTGCTGCAGCGGCGAGTACAACTCACCAGCATCCTGCAAGCCTTCCATGTATTCTCAAGTGTTCAAGAGTGCCTGTCCGAAGTCGTATAGCTACGCCTACGATGATGCGACTAGCACTTTTACATGTACAGGCGCAGATTACACCATCACATTCTGCCCCAATTTCCATAGGTAAAATCGTTATTATCTGCTCTTGGAGAATTATTAAAAGCATTTGGATAATCGTTCACGATTCTTGTCTGTTTATGTGAGTCTGCTCCGTGACAATTAATAAACAGGCGGCGACCGCTTTAAGTATTTTAATTAATCTATGTTCATTATTGGATATGACGTTTTGATTAATTTGGAATATATTCTTGTTGTTGCAGTCTAAAGTCCTCAAGTGATTCGCCTCCACAAGCAATCGGGGGCACAGCCATTGATGGGTCAGGGACAGAGGTAGGAGGGACGGTCACCGGATCCTCAGCACAGGAAGCTGAATTACAAAGTTCATGGCTGGCAAGTTTGGCCATTGGAGAGTCAACAGGAACCCAAACCCACCATTCTTTAGTTCTCCAATTTGCATTAGTTTTGGCCACATCTCTCATTCTTTCCAGCTCTCACTTGTAGTCACTACTGGTCTCTCACGTTCCAAGCTATTCAGCTGAGAATCAGTAACATGGAGATCGATTGGGAAAGTTGAAGAAACCCAGGTTGCAAACCACCCATCTTCCAAATTCAGCATATTTAATGTTAAACACATGTTTTAGTGTTAGAATATGTACCGTAAAGCATATTAGTTAATTTCAGAAATAGAATGTGTTTCTCTTTTTTATTCTTTCGGGATCTTTTGAGGTTGAAACCGTGTATTTTAAAAATTTATATTCTTTATTTTGCTAATATCAAAAATAATTTTTAAAAAATAAAAATATATTAATTTAATATATATTTAAATAAAATACATTTTAAAAAATAATTATTATCATGTCAGCCCAGCCCTATTTTCTTGCTGTTTCTATTGTCATGGAGCCTACAATCTAAAGGGAAAAAAAAAACTAGAAAGTGAAAGAAAGAAAGAGCCTTTGTGGGTTGAGGTTGTGGACAAAAAGGACAACCTTTGTTGACGTGAATACTGTTAAAAAAATATTCGAAGTGGAAGGCCACTTACGGGAATCCCATGCTTGGCAATTTGTTTGCAGTTGAAATAAGTAATTAGGTTTCTTATTTTTTATTTAAGCTTTATTTAGTTACTTTTAACATTTGGTTAAGATAATAAATAAGTTTGTTTCTCATCATATTGTATTAAATTTAAGAAATAAATATCTTGTGAGTACAGTACTTCATGTATAGAATATGAATAGCTTATTGTGAGTTCAAATTCTAAAAAATAAATATAAATAAAATCATGATCCAACAGCATACGGTATGAGACAAAATAACCTATTGAATGGCTCACATGATAGGAAAGAAACTTGATTTTGATATTCAAGAACCAGTAAAGGTGGGTTTTTTTTTTTTTTTTTTAAAAAAAGAAGATTTATGTGCATAAAATGCTTGGAAAATGAAGTAATAAAGTTGAAAAGCAAAAGGAATCATGTTACATAATAAAGTAAATAAATGAACTAACTAAGAAGCAACGGGAAAGCAAAATCTATAAGTATCTCTCTGGGTTTGGGACGCTGTTAACCTTGTTGAGAGATGCGCTCGGACAGTGACTGTTTGATGATTTATTTTAAAAGTGTTTTTAAAAAGTTTAAATTTTTTTGTTTTTTATTTATTTTAAATTAATATATTTTTAATATTTTTAAGTTATTTTGATGTGTTAGTATTAAAAATATTTTTTTAAAAATAAAAAATATATTTTTAACATGAAAAATTATTTAAAAAATAACCGTAAACATACTTAAATAATTTTCTATTCCGCAAAGTATTTTATTTAAAATTATTTTTTATATTTTTAAATTATTTTAATATATTAATATCAAAAATAATTTTTAAAAATAAAAAAAAAATTATTTTAATATATTCCAACCAATCCACTCTCACATAAATTGCTCAAAATAATTTAAGGTAAAAGATGGACGCACTCAGAAACTATGATGTCGAAGAACAATCATACCATGACGTTCTTGAACTGTGTTGAGAGATTGATGAACGGATGGTTGCATTTCAGCAGTCCAAAGTCAGCAACTAAAGATTTGCTTTTCTTTTTTCAAAGATTTCCTTTTAGGTCTCAGAAGAAACACTGAAGAATTTGAGTTGTGATATTACCCGACTGATAGGGCAAATGGTTTTTATATTACTCAATAAATAAGATATAAATATAATATAAACTTAATCCATTGGTGTTCATTATCGTCCGTCTTCTTGATTTGAATATAGTGGCAATTTGATATGACTCGATGGTCTGGTGATAAATCGACATTTTAGGGTTTGGACGGGTTCTGCTCGTCATCTTTCAAGAAATAATAGAAATCTTGTAGTCAAAAATCCACTGCCATCACTAACAAAAAAAAAAAAAAAAATCCAACCTATTGTATATGGGAAATGGAAGTGTTTGATATCGCAACACTATCATGATTAACTGGATTTAGATTTCCAAAGTAATTATTAAACTCATCCTGGTTTTTACCCGGTCATGATGCCAGGTTTTTTTAAAATAAAAATTAAAAATAATATTTTAAATTTTAATATTTTATATAAAAAAATTAAAATTATTTCGTATATAAATTATATAGAATTATCTTACATAGAAAAGTTAAGAAATATTTTATGTATACATGTAATTTATATATATAGTTATCCCATAAAAAAGTTATATATATATATATTAAAAAACATGAAGATATAAACTATAAATATAGTTATCCAATATAAAAAAAACATTTTATAAGGATATAAAATTTAACAAAAATATGTGAATTTAAATATTTATAAATTAACTTTCTATTTTTTTAGGTTTATTAAAAAAAAAATCAGGTCTCAAGGTTTATTAAAAAAAAAAAAAAAGGTCCCACCCCATCAAATCACCCTAGTTTCATGTTGATCCAGCAGGTCACTCTAATTCTACCAGATTAATTAAAAGCTCCAGCTTAGACCCTTTAAAACCCGACTAATACTCTAGGCCAAACTGGGTTTTATATTTATGATTTTTACAACCCAAACTTGTAAATTACTAAAGATGTTGAGAAAATTGCTTCAAATAGATAGTGACTTCTTGACCTGAAGATTTTGACATTAAGTTCTTATTTGTTTGATAGAAAGTGATTTTTTAAAAATTATTTTTCAAATTTTCATGAGTTTATTTGTTATTAAAAAAGGAAGACAATAAAAAACATTTTCCAATTAAAAGAAATTTTGGTTTGATTTTCAAGAAAGTATTTTTCTTTTATTTTAAAAAGAAAACATTTTCTGAAAATTGTAAAAATTTTAGAAATGTCATAATATTTGCTGATTATATCAAATTTGATTATCAAACTTTTGATTGTTATATATTTTTTTTGAATTTTTTTTTCAATTTCATCCATTAGAATTTGATTTTTATATTAATTGTGGTTCTTATTTTTATAATTGTTATTTGCTTTTTCCTTATCATTTTTAATTGAATTTTTTTCTATTAAATGTGATCCTTATTTTTTTTATTGTTACTTATTTTATTTGAAATAATTTATAAAATGATTATTATTATTATTTTAATTTCTTCATCTTTTAATTTTTTTTTATTTATTAAATTTAATTTCGATTATTATTTATTTTATTTGAGATAATTTATGAAATTATATTTTTTCCAATTTCATTCTCATTTAACTTTTTAATTTGTAAAATTTATTTCTCGTTATTTTCATAAATTTGAAAAAAATAAAATATTAATAAGTTATTTTCTAGTTTATTTTTCATGATATAACCAAATACTAAAAAATATTTTCCAACTTATTTTGCATTATACTACCAAATATCAAAAAATAATTTACTTTTTTTAAAAAATACTTTCCAGCAAACAAATAGAACCTTAAATTCCAATATTTCTTAGGGATCGTTTGGAAACACGATCCAATCCATGTTTTCAAAAAAATCAATTTCTTTTACTAAAAATTAAAAAAAAAAAACTATATTTTTAGATTGTTTTGATATGATAATCTTAAAAAAAAAATTAAAAACTTTTTTTTACTATATCTTTAAATAAAAAATACTTTAAACTGCAAGTGTAATTACAATCTAGTCACTAGACAAGAAGAATATGCATTGCACCCTTATTTTCAAGAACCGGCGAGATGTCACAGGTTGCAAAATAGATGATTGTACAACGGAAGTGGAGATTTGCTATCAAACAGCAAAATATATGTGATGATCAGGCTAATTTGCATGGTCCTATAAAAAGAGAATTTGTGGGCATCACAATTATTGGGGAAGGAAATAAAAGCTGAAGAAGCCACTATATGTAAGATCCAAATTGCCGCCCAGAGGCCATTGTAGATTAGCGCTCGGAGAGTGATGCTTAACCAACTTGTGTGGTGGAGCCACACCAACGTATCTAACTTTATTTTTTCCGAAGATAAGAGAAGATTGGACTGCATTTTCCAGGGTGCTTTTCCAGATGTAAACGTTTGTGCCAAATGATGCATTATTAAGACATTAGGAAAGAAAGACTGCATCCAACCAGAGCATCCTTACTAAAAGATCCCCAGCCTACAGTCTCAAAAAGGCAAGGAGAAATAGCAGGAATGCAAGCGTTACCGAGCTTCTATGCAAACTAAAGAAGGGTTATAACTATACCAAACTCGAAAATGCAAAATACATAGATCCAGAAGAATAATGGTTTTCATGGAAGGGGGAAACTAGAGAGAATGAAAAACGAGCAAAACCTTGAAAGAGCAAGAAAGCAGGTACTTCACCATGATAGATAAGAATTCAAGTCATGGCATGTTCATTTCTCTACTCTGTATACACAGTACGTGCCACAATATTAAAAAGCAAGCAGTTCCATTCCTCCAATAAACGTCAGTTTATTTGATCCACAGAGCATCATATAGCTTTTGCACTGTTTGTGATTGTCCTCTACGCAGACGGTCTTTGTTTAGTCAAGGATGGCCATACCTAGCTACTTTCAAAGTAATGTTGATGCTCAGATGAAGATAAGGAATCTTTTGTCAAAAGCTTCATGCCCTCACCTATAGCAGAAGTTCAAAAAGGAAATCATAAGAAGCAACTAAAACCAATCAAAAACAGCATCTTTATGTTAAGCCAAGATAATAATAATAATAATAATAATAATAATAATAATAATAATAATAATAATAATAATAATAATAATAATAATAATAATAATAATAATAATAATAATAATAATAATAATGAAAAAGGGCATCTCCAGGCCTTCCTTTCCAGTTGGCGAATCATCAACCAATCAGACCCACACAATTTAGTTCCTAGGATTGCACAATATAAGGGACTTCGGACCCACCACTATAGTAGGCTAATAAACTGCATCCAGCAAGTAAAAAAAGTCCTCTACACGGTAATTGCTGCATGACACAGATAAATGGAGTACCTTTACATAAAAATACTGGATACGAACGAAAAATAAAAGGCCGCGAGAGTTTATAATGCATTCTAACAAATAATGGGTAGCAATGATGCCTTTCATAGCTGGGCCAGGAATCGTCACCGGCCATAAAACCATGATGACACTTCAAACTTCAGAGTCAAAGTTCTCTATAATAGAGAAATTCAGCCCATTTTCTTCAACTTTCTCAAGGAGTTTGTGTCTTTTAGGGCTAAAGAATATTGCTTCCAAAGGCCCAGCATTTCTTAACAGGAGTTTGACGGTACAAGCACCTTTTGCCAACTGGTGAAGAAAACTTATGAATCTAGACAGCCTCAGACTGATAACAAATTGTCAATGACATAAGAATTCCTCATCAGATTGCATCAAGCATTTGATTTAAACTTTGTTGTTGGGAAAAAAAACACTGGCCAGGTGGATAACAGGATGTCAATTGAGGTATTGACACAATTTGGATAGATAATTTGGAAAAATTATGACTGCCACTCTGGTTTTGTCAAGGTAGAAATGTATCCAAGAATATATTACAGTTATAAAAAATTTGGTGGCCATTGAGTATAAAAGATTTACTGATCCAAATTTAGTGATTCTTGACTTAAAAAAATGGGAAGGTAAGACATGCAGCATAAATTATTGAAACAGAAAGTTAACAGAAACATAACTTACAAGTCACAGGCAACTATGACATTAAAAGTGTTGGAGATATTATAAGTTACTTCCTCATCCCAATGCAATGTCATAGTCTTCAATTCTGTATTGCCAAATGCTGTGGAGCTGGCATCTATGCTATGCTGAATGTCTGGATGTTAAAGAACATAAAAGAGAAAGAGAAAGTGGAGCAATGCTACGCTCATACTCAAAGTGAATATAACAGTTTTGAATCATAACCCAGCAAACCAACAAAAATTTAGTTCTAAACTGATGTTCCCATTGGCAAAGCTAATGCCCAGCACAACCAACGAGCTAAGCCTCTGATATGGCTATGTGATGACTTGTGCATCCTTATATCTCTAATCGCAAAAACAAACATATTTAAACTTTATTCAAAACCACCATTGTTATCTTCAAAAAAACCTTTCTTTTTTTATAAATGAGAAAATACAAAACAATGTAAGACATCTTGAATCTCAATGACAGAAAGTAAATGTTTACAATGACTTCAAATCATAAAGAAGATGCAAGCAGGGGCGAGCCCAGGCTGAAGACCGTCCAACTTGATTCATATTCTGATCACTAGAACAGGCCTTGGAACCAATTCTAGGCTCATCACTAACAATTTGAGAAACTTAGAGCTTAACATTAACTGAAATCTAAACAAGTATGTATTGAATCATGGGCAACTTGAAATTCTCACAGATAATGCAAACAGACTTCAATTCCATAATCCAGGTACATGCTTCCAATTGACATGTTAATTTTTCAATATGGTACAGACATGAAATCTTCTTATGACTCTTATTCAATGAATAACCCCAATCAGACAATAGCACGCCACTGCCCTAGGTTTAGAAACGATTCAACCATCTAAACTTCTCACATCATATCTTACCAAGTTAACCTAACTTATCATGAAATCTGAACATGTCTGCATGTGACAAGCAAAAATATGAAAGGACATCTTCAGATGTCCACTGACCTGGATAACAACACCTTTATAGTGAAAGTAACAAAGATAACAAATAAGATGCTCATGTCATTTAAATTTTCTCCCACAAGTAATCAAGTTTCAGTCTCCCACCAATCCAATACCGTGTTAAACAACTAACAATTGTGGTGCATCTCAACTGCCATTAAGAAATCAAATGTAACTACATAACCATTTTCTATCAGAAGTGTCTTCCAGAATCTGTATAAATGATAAACTTATCTTAAAATCAACATTCTTGAAAAAGCTGAAAAAAATTATGAACTCCACAAGTAAGATACCTAATTGAAATCAAAGGAATAGTAAGAAAAGGTGTTATCTATCTGCTGACTAGAGGTATCCAAAATGTTCATCAAAATATAATCTTTTTTAAGTACCCCCTTGCATTCTATACTCTCTTTTTTTTCTTAGAACAAGATAAACAAACAACTTGATACAACAAAATCAAGAATTACCAGCAGAACTTACACATTGGGCCAGTGTTATCAACACTGTATCTATTAGAAACCTCAAAATCACTCAAATCAGCACCATTATCCAATCTTTGCCTGCACAAAATCCCACACGCATAAATCAACAACGAAAACCCAAATCAAATTTCAATTCAAATCATAAATAACATTATCAGTTTGATAAAATGCCTTAAACAATAGGCAACATAAGCTTACTTGACGAAAGTTTGGGACTTGCATCAACAGGCAAAGCGTAGCCAATGCAAACATCTATAAAGTTCGGTTCTTCATTGACATGGTCTTCAACTGCTTGGCCTGGTATCAAGTTGAATCCTAGACGGGTTTTCTAGAACTGTGCTTGATAGCACTGGGTAATTGATTGTCTGCAAAATAATTGGTTTTCGACAATGTCCCAAACTAACATACAAGCTACAAAAACTAATCATGTTACAAAAACATGTCATAATTGACGTGTTGGGAGAGATTAAGGAAGCACCAGGATTTTCATGGGATTTGCGAGGAAGGAAGGGCTTGGCGTAAGATTGCCCATCTAAGAAATGATGGTGTTGTATTTGCTCTGGCTGCCATTTCATTCTTGTTTTTAGTTGGCTCCTTGTTTATATTACAGGATACTCACATTTCTGAGCCGTCAACTTTATTTTGTTTTTATTTTTAGTACTCATAACATTTTTGTTTTATAGATTAAAAAGATCATCTCCCTAACTTTCGTGTATCAAATTCAAAACTATTTAAAATTTTCTAATCAAGATTTTGAGTATAGCCCAATATGCATGTTCATGCCTTATTCAGTGTAAATGCTTATAAGAATAGAATTTATTTTCTCTTTTTTTTTCTGGAATTTATATTTACATAAACCACAGTGCTGCTATCATGGATGCAAAATCCAAATCTTGAAATATGAAATCCTTAATTAAGGTTCTAGTGAAAATATGCAAGCCTCATTTTCACCTGTATTCTCAAGTCAGAGCCTTTTTAAAATGTTATGTTTGAAATTGAAAATTTTGAAACCATAGCAACTGAAGGAGTATACTGTTAAAATTGCAGAACCAAAATATACTTTAACCTTTGCAAGTTAGCAACAATTGAATTTAGGGGCAAGCAATGGATTTTTTTATTATAGGAATGAAAACTGATCAAATAATAAAATTATACAAGTCGCTTTTTTTAAGTATTTTTATTTGTAAATTTATTAAAATAATATTTTTTTATTTAAAAAAATTATTTTTAATATTATTACATTAAAACAATCTAAAATAAAAATAATAATTTAAAAACACGGTTGATTGAAAAAACAAATACCACTTGCTAAAAAAATCAAATGATTTAATCCAAGAAACGTGATATGAGAACTACAGCAACAAGCTACAAACTTCACCAGCTGGACATCTAAAAATTGAAGTTACTAAACAATAAATCTTTGATTGATAAACAATCCCTAAGCAACTGTTGAAGCTGGACTAAATTTCCTGTCTCTGTAAATCTTGGAGTATACCTTCTTTGTTCTAATTGCTAGGAGCACATCTAACCCAAACCCAATTACACAGGCAAGAGCCATTATCAGGAAGACAAGGAAATAGCAATGGGGACCAACACAGGTATTGCCACCACCAGCAGGGCTTCTAGCGGCTTGAGCATCGTAAAGATAACCAGCAAGCAGGCCAGAGAAGAGGAAGGAACCCAGTGGAAGATTAAGAATGAGAATGTTGTATAACAAGCCATAATATTTGAGACCAAATAGTTCTGAGGCTACTGCGACAGTTATTGTCAGACGAACTCCGTAGCATATTCCAACCAAGATTGAACCAATATATAGAGATCCGGGCAAGGCCAATGCCATGATGACATATCCTAGTGTCATTAGGACTGGAGAAGCTGCATTCCATAGAGGTCTTGGTGTCCCAAATTTCCTGCAAATAACATGATGGATATGTGAACTATCAAAAACTGTGAAGTTCGAAATGTGAGGAGTTCAGAAACTGAAATGGAGAGTGACAAAAACATACCAGAGGAGCTGTTCTGATACCAGACCGGAAATAATACGTCCGAAAAATCCCCAAATGCTGGTGAGAGAAACAAAAATGGATACATCAATGTATCCAAGAGCCAGGCCCATCTGCCCCAAGTTGTTCATTACACACATTCCAGTGCCCACACCACAGAGGAATGATAGGAACAAAATCCAGAAATCATATGTCCGTATCATTTCGATGATTGTGTGATCCTCCCCAATCATTGGTCGTTGCTTGATTCCAGCATTCTCCACTTCAACACTGACTGTTGTTGCTGGCTCTGGCTTCTGTGGCTTTGCTGATGAATCTTCTGGGCCAACAAGTAATGGTTCCTTAATCTGCTGCTCAATATCCGAATTGGACTTAAGCTTCAACAGAACCGAATACAAAGGAACACATAATGGACTTGCTAGAAGGAATATTAGTCCTGCAACAAATACAAGTGAGACAACATGACCATGATTTCCAATGATGTCAAATGCCAAGAGATAGGCAGCTGCTATAATGGCAATGGCATTAAAGATGTTGAAAAATCTGGCTTCTTCCTTTTCCTCTATAGGACCAGCAGCAGATGTGGTTTCTCGGAGGAAAAGAATAGCAGCAAGGCAAATGATAGCAGGAACAATAGCAAGAATTAGGAGAAATGCAGAAGGATTGGAAGAGAAGAGAGCAGTGCAAATATCAGTAAATATTGCTGTGCTGAGTCCTACATAACCCTTCAGGATTCCGGAGACTGGGCCGCGATTTTTTGGAAAGTTCCGCATGCAAGTTACAAGAACTGCCGTGTTCATCCAGGTTGTGCTGTTGCCTCCCATGCACAAAAATATACACATCTGTAGCAGAAAACAAACATGAGTTAATTTGGTTATGAAGCGCACTTGCTGGAAAAGGATTGATGACCCTGTGACACTACAACTAGATGGATTCAATGACTGAACAATATATGGTAAATGCTTTGAATACCTGCCAGTAAGGAAGAGGATGGATACGCTGGCTAACAACAAGCCATTGAACTCCATATCCTATGAGTCCTTCAAATGATCCAATAAGGAGTATTACAGAAGTTGACCAACGATCTGAAGCAATGCCAGACAATAGACCAAAGGCCTTTCCAACGTCTTTAGCAACAGATAGAGTATTGAGCTCCAGCTGAGTAAGAGCCATGATTGATTTTAAAGCATCAGAGTAGTTGGAAAAGGTGTAATTGTTACCGCAGATTGCCTGCACCCATATTGCAGTAACAAATCCTAACCATTTTCCAGCAGGAGATGCAGGAGATAATAATGGACACATGACTAGGAATAGCGCAGAAGAACAAGAGAGAGCTTGAAGTATTTGCTTTGAGTTTGAACTCCATGGTGGGATTGAGCTATCGCTATAAATACTTCTTGTTTTGCATTCATTAAGAGCAAGCCTTGGCTAGACCCTGGTTTTACAATTCCACAACTGGTGTTACAAAACCAGGTCAATGGTGGCTCATGCATAAAATATTTTTAAGAACAGGTGAAAGCAATGTTGCCAGCTGAAGCTGGGCTGCTGGGACCTTGAGAATATATATGGTTCAAGAAAAAAAAAACACTTATTTGATGGATGGATATTAAATTTGAGGGCCACACAACACAAACGGGTGTCTTAAGAAAGAATAAACAATATGGACCTGTCAAAATCGAAGGAATGGATGAGAACCAGGCCTGCCATAGCTCATCCACACGGCTTCCTAAACCAAGTGAATCCTACGATTCATGCGCCAACCATTTCTATTCTGGTCATGGAATCAGCTTTGATTCAGCCGCCTGAGCTAAAACTAGATTGGTGAGGCGAGGTACGTCGAGGGCCATATTAAATTTTTTTCTTGTAAAAAAAAATACTTAAATAATAATGGTGTTTTTTTTTAAAAAAAAAGAGAGAGAAATCCAATAGAGGTTATTATTTTTACTAAATTTAGTAAGTTCTATGATTAAAAAATTAAAATCTTTTTGCATATTAGGTTCATATATAATAATTAATAAAATGATTGGTAATATTATAAAAAAATGCTATAATCTTATTTGAATATAGAAGTAAAATTGGATGATATTTAATGAAACAATATTTTAATTAGTTTATTTATAATGAGTTTTAATTAAAAAAAAATTAAAAAAAAACTATGGGGTTAAAAAATGCTATAATCTTATTTGAATATAGAGGTAAAATTGGATGATATTTAATGAAATAATATTTTAATTAGTTTATTTGTAATGAGTTTTAATTAAAAAAATTTAAAAAAAACTATGGGGTTGCATAAAAATGCTTAGGTGGGATGGGACGGACCTCGTACAAAGAATGTCATTTGCGTGTGTGCCTACAAGTTCAAACTTAGACGTTTGACCTTCTTTCCTTTTCTTTTTTTTAAATAGGTGTCTGCTCTATTTTTTTATAAGAAAAAAACATAGGATGCGTGGGTTAATTTGCAGTAGTAGACAATGTATTGTGTATTTTATTCATATTTGAAAAATCAAGTTTGAGTTTTTAAATTTTTAAAATCTATTTTGTAATTATTTTTTACTTGAAAACATTTAAAAATCATCCTAAAAAGCTTTAAAAAACTTATTTTTATCCTCAAAACAACCTTCAATCATTGAAAAATCCAAAATTAAACCAAATTAAAAAAAAATTATATCCTCAATCTACTTTTTGCAATAAGATAAAAGTTTCAAAACAGAAACCTCTCTAATAAAATAAAACTTATTAACTTTAAAATTAATATTTTTATTGTCAGAATGTAGTTAAGCGGTCATATTCTTTTTTCTTCTTCATTCTTCAACAACTTTATCACTCCTATGTTCAATTTAGAAACTAAAACATAAATAAAATGGATTTTATGAACAAAATATAATATACTAAATTTAAATGGAATAAAAATAAGAGAAGGGAGAATCTTTGGATGAAAAAGAAATTTTTCCATGAATTGATACAACCTCTTTTTTTTTTTTTTTGGTTTGGTGCTTCTTGTCTGAATTGTTCTTTGCACAGCAAATGTAAATCATATTTCATCAAAGTAACCTCTATTTTAATTCTAAGATTTTATCAGACACCTTGAGTTGTCAAAAATATGTAAAGAGAAAAAACAATATCAACATATAAAATATCACAAACTACACATAGAATGATAAAATTAAAAGAAAAAAATTAATAAAAAAAAAAAGCATTGTTACTTGACCTGTATTGTTCATAATGAAATCATATAAATAAACAGTAATATCCATTAAAATAACATATTTTTTTGTTGTATTACTCGTTATTTGTTATTTGATCTCCGACTCACCACAGGTTAAATAGGTTTTTTTAATAAATGAATAAGAAATTATAAGTTTTTGTATAAATTAAAACAAATGAATCAAACAATTTAAAGTAAAATATTTTTTTTAATGAATCAAACAATTCAAAGTAGAATATATTTTTTTTTAATCTTGAAGTCTTGTTCCCTGTTAAATCATATCTTAAACAAATAATAAGATTTTCTACAATAAATCATAATGTTATAAATTTATTAAAATATCCTTAGAAAATGTGAATTTTAAAAGTTTTATTTTATAATAAATAATTTTTTATTTGTTAGGAAGAGTTTAAGGAATACTATGTCTTCTTTATTATTGCACTATTGATTAAAAAAATTCCATGAATACAAGTAGTCACGGAGCTCATTCGTTTAGTGAGTAAATACAAAAATATGCAATAAGAAAAATAATAATTTAAAATTTAAAATTATTGTAAAATGATAAAATTGGTAGTTAAATCACGTTTTCATTTGATTATTTTTCAATTTTTAAATGATTTTACACAATAAATATATATTAATATACGAGTTTACAAGTTCTAATTTTAAGAAGCTTGGTGCCAAGTCCTCCCTCATATACCAAGTTAATTCGTATTAATTTTTATTTTATTTTTTTCATCCAGGAGAAGCCCGCCGTTGAATTTGGGACAGGGATGAAAAGATCGTAAACATGCATGAATTCTCATTCAAGAAATAATCAAGTCACCCTTTAATAAACACTCAGCAAAATTAACAGTTCTGTGCTTCAAAATCAGATCGAAAGAAATTTCAAAACCATTCACACTCTTTCCTATGATAGATTAACAATACTGGTTCAAAACCCTAACACAAAGCTTCCTGTTCCATTACCTTTCAAAGCCTCCAATCACAAACTGCACCAAGGATCTACCTGCTGCCCTCCATCTGTGCTCATGAAGTTTACCGTTGCTGGAACAGGATTATTTTTCAATCTCTTGGAGGTTTAATAATGCAAAATCTTTCCAGGCTTCAATCTATATATACAGGATAATACTTACCAATATTTTCTTTATCCTAAATCTAGTTCTGTTCTCTCTTCACATCATGTTCCTGGTCAGCATTCTTGACTTGATTGTATACCGATTCAAAAACATTCATACACACACTCGAAAAACCCACCATTGCCTGAAAAGCATGCGGGAATCCCATCTGGAGATTATTCAATGTCATTGACCTTGTTACGCTAATCAACTTGTCATGCTTACTCTTTTCTTCCTCTGCCCTTGCCCGCAAGATCTCAACCTTCGCTCGTTTCTCCGTAACTGGGTCCTTGATGCGTATTGTGCTCGAAGTTTCAGGCATTGAATACGGACCATACTTGCTCTCCAAAGCTCTAAGCTCAGCAACCTTCTTCTCAAACTCCTTGAATGCAGATTCTGACTTCTTCTTTTGCTTATGCTCTTCTGCTTGTTGAACTACAATAGCATGAATTACTGTTAAGAAGCTCTTGATTCCTTCAGATGCCACTTTGTCAGGAATTCTATCAACTGCATGGTTCCATTCTTCGCAAAGGGAGTAAATTCTTGATTCCTGACTGGTTCTGGAAATTGGGTTTTTGCTAAACTGGAAAAGGCTAAGCCGGAGCCAGCCTGTGAGGGACTGGATGTAGTCCCGCTGAGCCTTAACAACATTGCAGAATGAATGGTGCCATTGCTGGACCTCAAGCTCAAGCTGGAGAGTCGACTGTCTATGAATCTCTGACGTCGGCTCAGTAGATGGGATAGCTTTGAGATATTTGAGCTGCTGAACAATGTGTGTCTGGACCTGGTGTGACTCGTACATGCCTCTCCACATGCACATTAAACTGCAGAGGAACAGAGGACTTTTAAAGCATCTAATGTGAAGCATACACCTCATATATGAATCCAATAAACTACATCAGGATAATTTAGCAGTATGTTTTATTAGGCTACTATCGTCAATTCAGCA